ATTAACAAGGTGGGAGAATTTTGTGTGTCTGAGAACCTGGTCTACATGATGAGGAATTCTGAACTACATACCTCATCTTTATGAGTTTGTGTTCTTTCAGTTTGTATACATAATGAACATGAGCTTAGGCTAATCTAAGTGTGGATTATCCTTAGGGTGAGCAGTGCACCCTGAACTAGTGTGAAATGAAAAGAAATGGTGAAGGTAACTCAATGGGCATCAGCTATTTCAACAATTTCTGCACTGATGTTTAATGATCCCCAGGACTTCAAGGTAATTCCTGCTGTGGTGGATGGAGTGTTCCTACCCAGGCATCCTCAAGAGTTATTGGCTTCTGTGGATTTTCACCCTGTCCCCAGCATCATTGGTGTCAACAATGATGAGTATGGTTGGGACCTTCCCATGGTGAGGCACAGTTCCAATCCTCTCGGAGCCTGAAGACCCATATGCTAAGCTGTGGGAACTCAATACATCCTTAATCTAAGTCTCCTGATCTAACACTTTACACTTTCTTGTGCCTGCCAGTACTTGGGCTCTGCTCAGACAATAATGGAAATAACCAGAGAGAACCTGAATGCTGTTCTGAAGAATACAACAGCACAAATGGTGAGAAACCTCTGATCCTGTCCAAGTAGAGGGGTCCTTCATAGCTCCTTTCAGACAGATTCCCTGGGAATAAAGCTCAGTGTATATGTATGATTCTCGGTGGGGTCCTCAGAGATGAAGCTTCTAACCTATACCCATTGTTATCCCAGATGTCATGCTCCCAATACCAAAGGCTGCTGCTTACCTAACGTACAATACGCCTCACTTCATTCTTGCTGGTTTCCCTGGTGTAGATGCTGCCTCCTGAGTGCAGTGACTTGCTAATGGATGAGTACATGGGAGACACTGAGGACCCCCAGACCCTCCAAATTCAGTATACAGAGATGATGGGGGACTTCCTGTTTGTGATCCCTGCACTCCAAGTAGCACATTTTCAGCGTGAGTACATCTGTCATGAGGCTTAGGGGAGCATCTCAGGGATGTGGGTCACAGTGAGCACTGTGGTATTCAGGTTTCCTTGTGTCTAATTCAACAGAGTAAAATCTAGATACAGAGGAGAAAATGGGTTTCGGACATTCAATTGAATTAGCAAAACCACTTTCTAGATGGCCTGGAGTGTCTAGCCAAAGGCTTTTCCATAGCTGTGTTCCAACCTGGAGCTCGATCTCCTATTTAACTTCTGTAATTCCAGGCAACCAAATATGCAACAGAAAACCTTCAGGTGGGGTTCAGCTACATCACTTTCTGTCTCCACCTGCAGGTCCCCATGCTCCTGTCTATTTCTATGAGTTCAAACATCAATCCAGCTTTCTCAAGAATACCAGGCCACACTATGTGAAGGCTGACCATGGGGATGAAGTTCCTTTTGTCTTTGGATCCTGGCGCTTTGGCATGGAACGTGAGTCTTCTTTACTTTTCTCAAGCTGAATGAGGTTCCAAATGACTCTTTGGGGACTTCTGAGCCCTCAGTCTTTTTGAGAAAATTTATGTTCTGAGAGAGGACAAATCCAATGTTGTGGCCCCAAATCAAAGTTGATGTAGAATCTTCAACCCTTCCAGTCTAGCCAGTAATAGAGAACCTGACAGCAAAATCATGCAGAAATTCAGTTAGAGGCTTGCATGGCTATTAGATACTCTATATAGCAAAGAAGGGAGGCAACAAAGCCAATAGTGTGGGGTCAGACATCACCTGAGGTGGTGAATGTGAAGAGTGAGTTGACACTTGCGTGAGGTGGCATATACATTGTCTTCCTCATAACTATAGTTAACTTCACTGAGGAGGACGAGCTGCTGAACAGGAGGATGATGAAGTACTGGGCCAACTTCGCACGATATGGGTGAGAACACACCTCTCTCTCTCAACCTAACACATGTGGGTCTCTATTAAGGCTCTCTTTTGAATGGACGCCTTCTTGCCTGCATGGATCTTCCATTGCATGAATGTTTTGTCTACACAATAGCACATTTATGCAGGTACCTTATAGTTAGCAGATCCTTGTCATCTCACGGTGACCTACCTGATGAGCTATAGTGCTGTGGTACTGTTGCTGAGATCTTTCCTCTTAGAGGCAGATATAGAACTTGTCAGGTAGTTCTTTCCCAACAAGGAGCAGAAACTAATGAAGTGACACTTGTATGCACATATCAAGATACCTGTACCATCAGACCCCTTAAACACTGGCTGGCTTGTTCCACTGCCTTGATCCACATCAGGGGATCAGGCTTTGTAACAGAGTGACCTCATCCTTCTTTCCTGTGTGTTATATTCAAGGAACCCCAACAGCCAGGGTCTACCCTACTGGCCTATGTTGGACCATGAGGAGCAGTACCTACAGCTGGACATCCAGCTTGCTGTGGGCCGAGCCCTGAAGGCCAGAAGGTTGCAGTTCTGGACCAAGACTCTGCCCCAAAAGATCCAGGAGCTAAAGGGGGCTCAGGACAAGCATGCACAGTAGTAGTGGTCTGTGTCAGGAAAGAGGTATGTGGGGTTCAGAGCAAATAGGGGCCATTCTAAAGTTACAAAGTCCATTTATTCATTTTTATTTGTTCCATTACTCATATAAGCATTTCTAACTTCACCATTTGTCCTTTCAGACTAGTATGTCAAACCCTCTGTGCATTACTCCTTATTTTCCTGGGCAAACTTTCGTTGGAGCCAATAACTGCTCTCATAACAGTGGGTGTGTGTACCCTAAAGTCACCCATCTTCTTTAACCCTTCCTGTGTTTAGACTCCTGTTCTTCCTTCTTTCCTTCCTTCCTTCTTTTCTTCCTTCCTTCTTTCTTTCTTTCCTTCCTACCTTCCTTCTTTCCTGCCCTCCATTATCTCCTCCCCATCATCACTCTCCTCTTCTCCTAGTCCAAGACAATATTCAAATGAAGCAGAAGCTTCAGAGACTGTTGCTTACAGGGATTGGCTGCATCAAAATCCTGTATAATCCCTTGGTAAGTTCATGTTTTTATTTGACATCAGAAAACCTTCTTTCCCCAAGACCTATTGCCTTCATCAGTTCAGAATCGTGTTCTCAAAGATCATAGATTCCAAATTGGACTCAGCATCTGTGGCCTCAGATGTTTGTAGGCTGAGACAAGAAGATTACAGGAAATACAAGAAGCCAGGAAATACAATACCCAGACCTCTGCAACAAAACAAAAACCATGGCCTCAGTAACTTACAAAGCACAGAAATCAATCTACTTATCTATAGATTGAGAAATCCAGGGTCAAGATGCCCCACATTTGCTGTGTGGTGGTAACCAGTTCTCTGGCTAGAGATCTTAATTATATCTTGTGCACTGTCCTGTTAGAATGTGTAAACAAGAGTAATACAGGGGCAACATTAAGTCCCTGATGACATGAACTGGGGGCAGGGAAGGCTTTCCTGTCAGTGAGACTGACCATGTAGGTGTTTTGACTCTACATGTGTAGCATTGATAAAAGATCTTGTTGCTAGAATGTCTTTGCTTATCAGTTCAGTATATACACACTAAACTGCCAACAGTAAGTCAGAAGAAGTTTTAGGCTTCTAACAATTATCTCATTATTAATATCTTGAGTGTGGATTGTTTATATGGTGCTCTGGACTTATCTTGGACTTGTGTACGTTAGGTTAGTGTTCCATTCATGCATTATATCTCAGACTCTGTGGATTGTTCAAATGCAATTAAGTTACTCTCTTTGAGGTGTCTGGCTTAGTAAGTCTGAGAAAACTCACAAGGCCTGCAACTGCCACTAGATCAGAGTTATAACATTCTTCCTACTTCCCACAGGGCTTTCCTCAGGTCCTTTTGCTGCCGTTCACTATATTTAACCCTGTTTCAAAGTAAACATAACATCACTTTATCTGGTTCTATTGAGTCTTGTCTCAAATCCAATATAACAGCACATTTTGTCTTATTGCATACAATGTCTTTGTTTCTTTTTTTTTTTTATTGTGGCGTGACATCCAAGTGTGCACATTACACACTTTATATACTTAATCTATGCACAACTGTTGCCCTGTTTATTAGTTGGTCTTTTTGGAGACCTGGTTTCTATATAGCTGTGGTTACCCTGAACTCATGATCTCACTGTGTGGTTGGATTTTAGCAATGGGCCACCGGTCTCAGGTTTGCATTTTAATGAGCTATATGGATATTCTCACACATTATTTCATGTATTCAATTTTTGTATTTACTACCTAGAGTAGAATGAGATACGTGTGCTAAACATTTAAAGAATTTGTAAGGCTAGGGATATAGCGGTGATAGAGCGCTTCCCCTGAATGTGCAAAGCCCCGAGAAAGCAAAAAATGAAACAAAGCCGGATCAGATGACCTAGGCTTGCAATCCCAGTAGCTCAGAGAGTTGAGGCCAGAGAACACAGGTTAACACCTGTCTGAGCTATAGAGCAAGCTCCTAGGAAAACTGGAAAATTTAGTTGTGGTGTGTCTCCACATAAAAAGTACAAAGAAAAATGGCTCGTAGGTGGCAATGGAATCTTAAATCCAGCACCCTGGAAGCAGAAGCAGGTGGATCTCTGAGTTCGTGGCCAGCATAGAATATACAGGGAAGTTTCAGGACAGCTAGGACTACACAGAGAAAGCCTGTCTTAAAAACAGGTATAAAAATTTCATAAAAATCTAACTTAACTTAGTGGGTTATTAAAAAGGGAGAGTAGTAGAAAAAAGAGGAGGAGAAAAGAAGAGTAGAAAGAGTAGGAGGGGAGAGGAGGAGTGGGAGAATGAGAAGGAGAAGAAGATGGAGGAAGAACACAAGAAAAAGAAGAAGAACAATAAGAACAAGCAGAAGAAGAAGTGGGATGGAAAACGTGGTTCTGGGTTTGCTGGGTCTTGGGAGCAATGGGGGAGGCATGCATGTGACAATTATGTTTGTTCATGAAATTACAAAAAAAAAAAAGCCCCAAGGTTCTGGCATACATGTCAGTGGCAGAGGACTTATCTGACATATGAAAGACCATAAATGCAATGTTCTGTGCCCTCCCTCTTTAGAAGCTTTGGGATAATTGACTACGTCAGAGCTGGTTGGGTCTCAAATTTCCATGTCCACCTCTAACCAACCTCCAAGTTTTCTCACATCTAGAAATGGCTTCTAACACATCTGATGAGCCGCGTTCCTGCTCCTTCCATCAGTTCAAACTGCCTTGAAAATGAGCATAAGCTGCCAGCGAGGTCAACCCCGAGATGGATGTCTGTGCCTCAGCTTCTTGAAAGACTGAAGCAGGAAAATTTCATGAGCGCAGGAGCAAAAGGGCTACCCATTCTATATACATACACTGGATCTCAATAATATATTGCTATGTTCATGTGTGATCATGTAAGCATCATAACGTGGCTTATAAAAAATAGACATGTGCATATAGTTTTGGAGACCATGGAGCTCAAGGTTAAAATACCACATATGTGCTATGTGGTAAGGGCTAACTCTCTATCAAAGATTGGACCTTGCATTTTCAACTGGGCAGATGGGGAAAATGATGGTGTTCAAGATATGGACATACTTTTTTGCACATATGAAATTACTGAAAAATAAATAAAACCTTAAGGTTATGGTTATACAGATCAGTAGTAGAAGTCTTATCTAGAGTGTAAAACCCTAGATCCCATTTTCTGTACTGGCTTCTTTTAGATCTCCTGGTCTCCTGTGACAACTTCTAAAAACCTAACTCTTCTTAGAATCCCATCATAGACAAGATTTCAACATAGGCATGAGATGCATGAACTTTCAGACCATTGCACCCAGAGGTTCCCATATTGGCACCCAAGTTGTGAACAATGGAAAAGTTTCAACTTATTGTGCTTAAAATCAAATGTCACATTTTTTGGTTCTGTTGCTCTCCTTGTGGACCTCCTGTCCTCTCCAAATCTTACCATTTCCCACTTCTTTCATAAGATTCCCTGCATTCTGCCCAAAGTTTGGACATAAGTCTCAGCATCTGCTTTGATAGTCTGCAGGGCAGAGCCTTTCAGAGGCCCTCTGTGGGAGGCTCCTAACTTGTTTCCTGTTTTCTTCTTCTGATATCCATCCTCTTTGCCTTTTGGGATGGGGATTGAGCATTTTAGCCAGAGTCCTCCCTCTAGATTAGTTTCTTTAGGTGTACAGTTTCCAGAGACTCATACTCCAACCAAGTACCATGCATAGAGATAACCTAGAACCCCTGCACAGATGTAGCCATTGGTAGTTCAGTGTCCAGGTGGGTTCCATAGTAATGGGAACAGGGACTGGTTCTGACATGAACTCATTGGCCTGCTCTTTGATCACCTCCCCCTGAGGGCAGAGCAGCCTTACCAGGCCACAGAGGAAGACAATGCAGCCACTCTTGATGAGACCTAGCAAACTAGGATCAGAAGGAAGAAAAAGAAACCCTCCCCTACCAGTGGACATGGGGAGGGGCATGCCTGGAGAAGGGGGAGGAATGGAGGGATTGGGAGGGGAGGAGGGAGGGAACTAGAGGGGAGAATACAAAGTAAATAAAGTGTAATTAAAAATAAGAATTAAAAAATCAAATGTCACCTATTACCCATATTTGAGAGAATTATTAATGTAGTTTATTTCTGTCTCAAAGTGGCAGGTGGTATAAGCTTTTGAGAAATAGGTCTTGGCATGTATTAGCTTTTTATGCCTGAGGCTGTGTGTGTGTGAGTGTGTGTGTGTGTGTGTGTGTGTGTGTGTGTCCAGAGGAGCAGGGCTGACACTTTTGTGTCTGCTGAGGCTTGTTTTTGCCCCCAATGACCCTGGTGACCCTGGAAGGCCCACCTTTGCATGAGCACAGCACATCTGTGGAGATATTGGACTGTGGGGTGTGTCATAAAAGTAGGATAAGGGTGTCAGAAGGTTCAGAAATGTCCAGTAGAGGAGATTCCTATTCCCTGTCCCCCTGAGACCATGTCTTTCTTGGACTGATCATCCTGGCTCTTTTCAATCTCCTGGTCCCCTGTGACTCCACCACACTCACAATTCTGACCAACTGAACTTCTAGGAGAAGTTTTGTGGGTTAACAAGCTTTTCCCTTTTTAATACACTGCATTGAAGGCCAACACAGGACGACACGACCTTTGGAGTTATGTGTCTAGCAAGGTGCATGTCATTCTCCATACTCCAAATACAGTCATGACATGGTCTGCAAAGGTCATTTTTATACAGAATGGAGGACCTGGCTCAGGCCATATTGCAGCTTGTTCTCAGCAACGCACACCTGAGGGAGTTTTGTTTTTTAATCTAAACAGTTATGAACATTTTAAGCATGAGTTTCTGTGATAAACTTTCACATTATTAGGCAAGAAACATGAGAGTAGATTTACTGAATCAAAAAGCACAAGGGTGTGTTTAACTCTTGAAGGTAGTGCCAACCCGTCTTTCAAATGACTACACCATTTTGAGCCACGTGTGATGATGCCATTGATTTTTTTTCTTTTCGAACACTGATTATATGGGTGTGTAGTAGTGGTGTAGTAGAGG